CAGATTTTTATTTAAATCATCACTGCTGGTTTCTAACAAATACATTACAAAAATAAAAATCTGTTAGCAAAAGAGCACAGAAGGAGTGACGAGATATTGGAAGGGTAAATGTGCTAAATTATTTTGGAAACATTCAACTACTTGAGTATTTTTGCTTTTAAGAACCTTATGAATGCTGGAAAGATATAGTTTGAGTCAGTGAATTAGGATCACGTTTCCATTGCTTGAAAGGGTAGCTGATCTGGTCTGAAATATGTTTCCTGTAATTTTTAATAGTTGTCTTGTGATTTCATCATATTACAATATGCAATATAATACAGCATTGTCAGTGCACACTTTTGACACCATGCACTTTTGACAGTAATACAGTACATATAATTGCTCCAAAATGTCAGTGGAAAAGATTCCATATAGGCAGCTCACTTCTACTGAAGCTCTGTCTGTTGGAACATTTGTAGAAGATATATCATCTGTAGCTATACCAATATGGAATGGTTGCAATTTTTCACCAGCATAGACTCATAGGACTGGAAAGGACCGTGAGAGGTAATTTAATCCTAACATGAGTGAAAGGGGATTGGGCTAAGTATTGTTTAGACCAGGGATGGGCAATAAGTGGCTCATAGGCTGGACACAGTTCACCAGGATAATTCTCTGATGGGCTACCAGATGTGGTTCAGTGTCCCCATCCAGCCAGATCTGAGGTAAGCAGTGTGGGCTCAACCACTGCTTCCTGCAGATTCCATTGGCTGGTAACAGCAAACCACAGCCAACAGGAACTATGAGCAGGTGTACCTGCAGATGCACAGGTAAATAAAGCATCTAGCAACCTGCTAGGCAAATAACATCCGACCTGCGGGCTGCTTATTCCCCTCCTCCCCTTCCCCTGATCTAGACCATCCTGATAGGTGTTTGTCTAACCTGCTCTTATAACATCTCCAGTGATGGAGATTCCACAATCTCCCAAGCCCATTGCTCCTTGTCCTATACTCAGATGTTAATCATAGATTCATAGAACACTAGAACTGGAAGGGAACTTGAGAGGTCATCGAGTCCAGTCCCCTGCCCTCATGGTAGGACCCAGGACCATTTAGACCATCCCTGATAGATGTCTATCTAACCTGATCTTAAATATCTCCAGATATGGAGATTAAGGAGAATAAGAATAATTTTCCCCTTTTCCTTGTAGCAACCTTTTATGTACTTGAAAACTGTTATGTCCCCGCTCAGAGTATGTCTACACTACAGCACTAATTTGAACTAACTTAATTCGAATTAGTTAATTCGAACTAAGCTAATTTGAACTAGTGCATCTAGACCTAAAAACTAGTTCGAATTAGCGTTTTGCTAATTCGAACTAGCATGTCCACATTGAGTGGACCCTGAACCGAGGTTAAGGATGGCCGGAAGCAGTGCCGGCAGGGCATCAGATTAGGACTTAGAGCGTGGAGCTGCTGTCTCAGGCTAGCCGAGGGCTGTGCTTAAAGGGACCCTAGAAAAGACGAGACTGAGGGGGGATATGATAGAGGTCTATAAAATCATGAGTGGTGTGGAGAGAGTGCATAAAGAAAAGTTCTTCATTAGTTCCCATAATAGAAGGACTAGAGGACACCAAATGAAATGAATGGGTAGCAGGCTTCAAACTAATAACAGAAAGTTCTTCACAAAGCAAATAGTCAACCTGTGGAACTCCTTGCTGCAGGAGGCTGTGAAGGCTAGAACTAGAACAGAGTTTAAAGAGAAGTTAGATAAATTCATGGAGGTTGGGTCCATGGAGTGGTATTAGCCAGGGGGTAGAAATGGTGTCCCTGGCCTCTGTTTGTGGAAGGCT